GATTGTCTGGTTCCTTTTGAAAATTCCAGTCTAAAAATACGTACCAGCAGGATCTTCATGGACCCCAGAGTTATTGTACTATGCTCCCAGTTGTGATTAAGGGGGAAATAGAAAGGCAAAACAATCAGCTTTTCCAGCTCTCTTTCATCATAAGCTTCACTTATTCAAAACATGAGTAGGTTTGGGTAAATATTATTTCATTCTAATTAAAAACATTTATAAAAGGCTTTACTGATGTCCAGTAACTTAGGACTAATTTATGGAACCCTGAAGATAGAAGCGTGATACCATTACCCTGTTTTTAATGTTTTCCATTGCTATTAGTTTAACCCACCTCAGTCAGTGCCAAATATGCTAGATAAGGAATTTTGGCAAAGAACACTGAACTTTCTAAAGTAAAAATAAAGGCTCTGCAGGAGAAGCTAAAATGTTTTGGCTTTTAACTTTTTTTTTTTTTTAAATGTTGTTTTTAACTTGTAAAGATTGAGTGTAAGATATTTGAAAAAACAAAAATTAAACTGAAACCTCCTATATATTATATAACAGGTTTTGGCCCTTTCAGTTTCTCAGTATGCATTCTGAGTATGAGGAAAACATAATTTTCTTTCTTTCTTTTTCTTTTAAATCTCCGCTACAGTCAAGTCAGGACGTTTACCTTCTTGTTGACTTTGTCTCCAAGTCTGTGTGCTTACCTGTTTGCCTAGGCTATCTGATCTTGCTGCATTCTATATAACATAGTGCAACTGCAAGGGAAAATCCTGCGATTCCTTTAAGAGAACAATGAGGGGACTGTCTATACTAGGTGAAAAAGTTACATGAAACAGTTGTCTGTAGTGTCTTGAGGTTGCCGGGCCTGCACAATACTATGCATCCACATGCATACAGGTGCTTTCTCAGTCATTTTGCAAGCATTGCTTGTGTCCCCCTGTGGAAGGGGAGCCATAAGAATTACAGCTGAACTGGTTCAGCAGGCCCTCCCAACTGCATTCCATAATGCAGTGCCTTGTGTTTGCAGCAAAAAGTCTCCTCTTCCAAATCAACCATTCTTTCTCATCTACCCTGTTTACCCTACCTCTTTCCCTTCCATTTTTCCTTCTCCTCCCTTGTTTTTTCACTCTGCTGGTTTTGTTTTAAATCTTCTTGTATTCTTGTTCCATTATTGCTAGCCCATGGGTCACATGCAGAAACACATTGGCCTTTTCTAGACAATGCATTCAGTGGACGTGTGCTAACCAAGCAGCCAGAAAAAGTATTTTGCAATAAATAATGGGCCAAATTCATCCCTAGTATAACTCAGATTTATTAAAAGTCTCAGGTGTGAGATGTGACCTACAGTCCTGTTTCATACAAGGATAACTCTTCGTTTCATTGATTTCACACCTGATTGACCCCAGTGTGAGATGAGAATCAAGCCCCCAACATTTGCTCAGTTCGCTTTTGTAAAATAGTGCATATTATTTTAGAAAATTACCATTAAATCACCAAAACCTCAGCTACTGAAGGATTGTGAAGGGAATATTCCAGTAGTTTATGAGGACAGTAGAATTTGTCTTTAAAATAACTCAGGACAGTCATTACAAATATCAATAACTTTTCTCACTCCTGTCTGCAACTTATCTGGCAGCTAACGTATAAATGTAGTGACAAAAATTCATCCGTCTCCTCCTCCCCCACTAGATTACTTATTAGGCTTATACAAGGCAAGATATTAAAAACACTTTTGTCTGTCACACCGCCACGGGTAGGGGAGGGGGAATTTGCCAGTTGCTAATGGATACCTGGAGTTTTTGTGTATGACCATGAAGAACAGCTTGTGCACTTTCACCCCTGATGTTCCCTGAATAACTTGGGTCTCATTTAGGTCAATAAGCCTTTATCAAAACGTCAGGAGTGAAAAATGTGTCTTGGTGTAAGCCGACTGGTCGTTCCCTCCAGTCACAGGAGTCTATAGAACAATCAATGTTCTCTAAGCTTGTCTGCATGTCACGCAAAGAACTGGATGACAGTAACCATTGACTACATGTCGGTTTCATTGTCTTTGGGACAGCCCACATTTGCATACTTGCCAGTGTTCCTGTTATCCAATGAACCATGGAGAGTCTTTAAAAAAAAAAAAACCCCACACAACTCTAATGCAAATTTCGCACACAAAAAACACACACATTTAAAAAAACCAACAAAACACAGCCAAGGTTTCCCCCTTCTTGTTATAATAATGAAACTATAATCTTGATAATCCTACAGTTTTTGATACAAAAATTGCATTTGTTATTGTGCATAAAATTTAACTTTCCCATTTTTCCTTCCAAGAAAAACTTTTCTTTTTTTGTTTTGTTAATCCCCATTGGGCAGTCTGAACACTATTGTGTGAACCGCACATATGAGTTGAGGCCATAGGTTTGTTGCTCAAATAACTTCTTTTGTATGAAAGAAACAGCTAGCTCTCTGCTTAATGATTTGTCATTGTCTTTCGAGGGAGTTTCCTTCATATTAGTCATGAAAGAGGCTATATTAGCCTGCTACGATATAGAAATGTACTAATATATTAGAGCTTGTTGATTATATCTTATAAATCAGTACAATGTCATAAAATAGACAACAGTCTTGTCCTAGTACTAATCACTATTTTAATAGACAGGATAGTATTCTCATTTGCATTTCAGTGTAGGTTTAAAATGTATTTAATTAAGCTAAACAAAAGGGGAATCCTACTGCATGTGAAGTTACTGTGTTAGGCATAGTATATTGTATTGTTTTATATTGTGTTACAAATGAATGCCCATTAGGTTTTCAAAAAATGTTGTTGTAACAAATGTTTCTGAATAAAATTCTCCCAAGGTTTCCTGTTTATTCCTTCCACACATTAGAATAGACTATGGTCCAGATCCTCAGCTGATGTAAATTGGCCAATATCCATCTTTATAGCAGCCAAGGATCCAGCCAATATCATTTAATTTTCTTGAACCTGGAAACCTCTCAGGAGCACAGTAACTTTGTAGACAATTGTGATAGCTACCCTGATGCACCTAGCAACAACGTACAGAAAGCCCGGGGCATTAGAGCCCGTCACGTTAAGAGAAGGAATGTTGGCTGATGTCCTCCTCCTGCCTTTTGAAAAATGTCGTAGTGTCTTTAACTTGCACCTGCACAACTTAGCTACCAGGGATGAGCAGTTTAATGCACCATCAGAATGCTGGAATTTTAGAGCCCAGTCCGACTCCCATTAAAGTCAGTGGACTGGGCCCATGATAAATAAGAATCATTGCTCTTTTTTTTCCTCAGCAGCCCTATTGCTCTTTTAACCTCTAAAGCAATACTCCGATTGACCAGTATTTCGCCTTAAGTATTTTAATTGATTAAAAATCAATTACACTTGTGTTTAAGCTAAAAGTGGTCACTTTCTTCAGCGCTTTTCTTTTCCCATCATCATCATCATCCAGTCGTGCAATATCATGACATACAGGCATAGATGTCACAGACTAGTAATATTATTTAGCCTTAGAGGACAAATGTTGATTAGCGACATGCCCTATTCTCTTCAGCAACAATTGGGCTCCTCAAATGCCGAAGCACTGCTTGGCTTTTGTCATTCTAGTTTACTCAGACACCAAACTGCTCCAACAAACCATTGGTGTATGCAGTGTTGTTGTCGCTGTGTCAATCTCAGGATATTAGAGAGGCAAGGTGGGTGAGGTACTATCTTTTATTGGACCAACTTCAGCTTGTCTCTCTCACCAACAGAATTTGGTCCAATAAAAGATATTGCCTCACCTATCTTGTCTCTCCAACAAACCAAGCAGTTTAGTTCTAAAATATAATTAAAAGGTAATAGAACGTTATACCTCATGAACATTTTAACATGTTACATGCCAAGTCCTGGGTATTTTCATTTAGAAGCCACAGCTTCTATTAAAGGTGGTTATTTCCCCTTTTTGCTCTACATAGGGGATGATTTCTGCTTAGAGCTAAGCTCGGCTATTCAGTGAGGCCAGATACTAATTGAAGGTGGCTTCTAAATAAAAGAAATATGGGATTGCAACTTTCTGTTACTTTGGAAAAAATATAATCAAAACTCCTTCACCTGCTAATTGACAAAAAGCTACTGTCTGGGGATTTAAAAAAAAAAAGTGCATTGAAAATCATACTGAGTAAGTTCCAATTTTGTATCATTCTTTCCCTGACAGATGCAAATGGATGTTAGACCCTTCCATTCCATTCACTGTACACTTTGGAAACTCCTGGGTCAGTCCCCTGAAATGTTTAAATGTTCAGTCTGGTAGTGTAGCTGTCACAGAACTGTGTTTTAACCAAATTCCTGAACCATATTCTTGTACATTTCTTACAAAAGCTCAGAACTTTAGCCCCATTTTGGACCATAGTTATCCACCTTTACTTCACTTTGTTCCATAGGTGAACTCCTAACCCTGCTTAAGACTCCCATTGACTTTAGGGGCTGGGGGCAGGATTTCACCCCATGTTTTAAAACTGCCTGGAAACTATCAAGCTGTAACCTGGTACCAGAAATGTTACTTTTAAAAGTGTGGGTTGCACTTAGGCTATAAAAGGGTGGGTAAATGGCTGGCTAAGATGATACTGCAAATGGTGTATACAGTGTACTTTTTCTGGAAATGAGATATACTAGCAAAATATTTGTCTTGTGAATGTAGAGTCTGCTTGTTTTCTTTGGCTAAGACAAGCAACTTTCTGTTTGAATTATTGAAGCCAAGTAAATTTATGCAGAATGGTTTCAGTTTTAGCACATAGAGAAGATCCAAACAGCGTGCCATTCTGGTATTTAAACATATTCTTTATCATACATTTCCCATTGCTTACACAGTTTTCCTGAGGTTTTGTAGTTTGGATCTTCTTGGCATATTGCATACTTTTCTTCTTTCCAAGTTTTACATTTCATTTTCTGTGTTCCTTAATGTCATCTGAAAGAAGAGAGAGAATATGTAAACTAGAAAATTAATCTAGTTCCCTATCTTTTTTTCCCCTAGGAAATTGTATTAGTGGTGTTTTTTGGAACGGAGTATGTGGTTCGCTTATGGTCAGCAGGATGCCGTAGTAAATATGTTGGATTATGGGGAAGGCTTCGTTTTGCTAGGAAGCCTATTTCTATCATTGGTAAGTATACATGATTTGAACATGTCATAATTACTGAGAAAAAGCCACATTCCTATAAACACCTTGAACATTTAAAAATAAATGGAGTTTCCCTAGAGATTCCAGCCAAGTTAGAACAAGAACATTTGTCACTAGTATCTGCGCAGAACTGAAAGTTCTGAGGAATCTGTGGCATTGTTAGTTCCTTCTTTTATAGAAAAAAAAATCTTTCAACTTGATTCTTTTTCCCAGAAAAGAGACTTTCCTTTCGCAGTTGAACTGAAGTTTTGCCAGAAATAACAGACTTGCATACAATCCTGTCTCCCTAAATGGCTTCTATAACTTCAGCATTGCGCACATCTTGTAATGGCTGCAACTGTTTATTTTTAAACAAAACCAAGTGACCTCTATATGTTAGGTCCATTTTAATGTTAGTTTACTCTGTTTTTGGATTGAGCTACCTAGAGCACACTGGTGTCTGGCAGGTGACATGTAATTATAAACTATTATTTTCATGCTCGTAGGGTGAGATTTTTTTTTTTCAAAGGCACATGTGGAAGTTAGGCACCCAGCTGCCTTTGACTTTCAGTGGAAGGTGGGTGTTTAACTGGCCTATGTGGCCTTTAAAATCTCCTCCTTAATTCCTTGAATGCTTCAGCTAGTAAAGATTTTCAGAATACTTGCCCTGCAGTTCTTGTTTTTGTTATCCTTTGTCATATTTCTTATGGTAGCACCTAGGAACCATAGACAATCAGGGTCCTACTCTGCTAGGCACTGTACAAAGAGTAGTAGACAGTGCTTGCCCTGAAGAATTTACAATCTAAATAGACAAGACAGAGAAAGGGGTTTAGTTATACCAGTGGGCATCCATATCTTCATGGGGATGACTGCAAAATTTCTAAAGGCAATGGACAAAAATGCTGCACCCTAGGAATTCATAAGAGCACAGAATTGTTCATTAATTCATGGCTTAGCCTCTCTATGTCTGTATTATATAACTATATTCCATATGTGACTGTAAGTGTCATGCGCCTTTGACTGCTTCCCCAGGGCTCTGTCCGTTAATCCATCTCTCCTGAAATTACTACTAGCATTCCAAATCCCTGAGCAGCTTCAAACAGTGGCCGTTTTTTTTTTTTAAACATGCTGTAAAGTTGTTTCCTTCTTTTTCCAAAATGTGTACTGTCTTCCCAAAATTACCCTTGCCTGAGTCCAGGCTTTACAGTGTTCTGCCCTAGAGCAATGGCACTCTTACGATACTTTAAGGATAGATCTCTCTCAAACTGTGAGGATTTTATATGCCAGTTGTCGCAATCCAGGGCAAGTGACCCTGTATTCTCCCCTCCGTGATCCAACTAGGGCACTCACTCTAGGATCCTGGCTCCTCAGTTGTCATCTCTCTTGGGTGGAGACCCATGTCTCTCTCCCTTCTGAGCTGGGGTTTTCCAGGCTGCACAGTTCCCAGCCTACACTGTGGTATCCCCAGCAAGACAGACTGCCTGCACCTTGCTTTCTCTCCAAAGGCTATAAACAGTGTAATTGCCAACGGTTACAAGTTACCTCACAGGTCTTTCTAAGCAAGCACCTCTGTTCTTAAGGTAAAAGCTTTACAGAGAAAACAATAAAAGAACCTACACACATTCTAAAAGGCTTACCAGAGGTCACCCTAATGGTAACCTTGGACTCTGGTAGGTTTCAGTCCTTCCAAACCTTCCCCAAGGATTGCCCCCCCTCTTTGGACAGAAGGCCCGGTTTGTTTGCTGGATCAGAAGGAAGGCCCTCAGTCAGTTTAAACACAGGCTGTTAATCCAAAATCCTTTTTGTCTGTTGCTCCCTGGAAAATCCATTGTAAACTATATAAATATGTGAGCCTCTCCAGGTGGTGGTTCCTCTCTGGAAGCGTTACAACCTTAGTGAATTTGCCTAATCACCTCCCTCTTTTCTTAGTTCCTGGAGGAGCTGTGGTCATCCTCTCCCAGGGAATTACATACAGTCTCTGGCCCACAATGATACATACACTTAATACAGTAAGATCTCACAAAGATATCACAGGTAATATGGCCTATCTGCCACACCAGGTAGAGCTTTATGCTATTGGAAGGGAGCGATTCCCAACTTGCTATTGGTATGCAGGACTTGTTTCTATCCCTGGTAGGCTCCAAGATATCAGACCTTACATCCTGACAATATTCTGCATATTAAAGCTATTTTAGTTAGTTTTTAGAGGCTTGTAAAATCTATTAGTTACACATTTCACTCTTTTCCGGGTCTCAACAGTTGGATTCATGTTACTAAGTCACCTGATTTTATAGATGGGAGTAGTGAAAACCTGTGCCTGTACATTTTAAAAACCGCTATGAGAAAACACTATATAATATGTAGGGTATATAGAACATATCATTGTTTTTTTGACACTGTTGGAATGATCTGTGCCACATCTAGTTTTGCCACTAATTAAAAATGTAGCCATCCCTGACTCATGGCAATAAAACCATTTTTACTACAGCATTATGTATTTTCTTTCTATGTTACAGCAGAGGTGTTGAAATATAGAATCCTAAAACTTTATTTGGATGGCGCGCTCTAAAAATTTCACCCTTCTCACAGTTAAAATAATATCAGCGTTGGATTTAAATCACAATCTTATCAAAGCATTGCATTAAGCCTTGAACTTATTATCTTCACTTATTTTTATTTTTATTTTTATTTTATTTTATTTTATTTTTATTTTATTTTATTTTTATTTTCCAGATTTAATTGTAGTTGTTGCTTCAATGATAGTTCTTTGTGTGGGCTCCAAAGGTCAAGTCTTTGCAACCTCAGCTATCAGGTAATAATTTATCAATAATTGAAGAGAACGTGGTCTGTTTTAATAAAGGTTTATTATTTCACTCTCTCCTCTCCCTGTAACAGTTCTTAAATTTTAGAAGTGGTCACCGCTTTGGCATCTGTGTTGACACAACAGACCAGATTATGATCTCAGTTACCAGGCACTGGTGTAGATCAGAGTAATTCCCTCACATCTTCCTACTTATAATAATGAAATTGTATATACCGTAATAACACTAGAGCTTCACAAAAACTTCATCCACAAAATAGTAATGATGCACTCAAATTTTGTTCATGTTTGCCAGCTAGTCGTATGGTTTTTACCAACTTTTTTGTTTTTTGGATATCTACTGAGTTTTTTAGGCTGTTCTTAATAGTATATTTGGAGTTAGAGGTTGACTGTTGGAAAAGATATTGAGGGAAGTTCCATGTGCCAACAATTGACTGAACATATCTCGTGTGTTCAGGTGGGTCAGCCTGGTAGGTTTCGCTGAATGATGGGTTGAATTTTAGTTGCAGTGATGCTCTGTGACTGTGGTGGCTCTCTACTACAAAGCATATGCTGTAGTTGCTTGGAGCATTATTTCCATGATCAACTATGTAAAAGTTTCTGGAAACTCAAATTGTTCTCTAGCCCAGTAGATAAAAAGACCAAAGAAAAGGTGGCTAAATTTCTAGCTGTGGAAAGTTATCTGTTTCTGCCCATTCTGCTTCCCTTTTGAAACTCTTAAAAGATAGCACCAGATACATGAAGATTAGCCAGGGAACAATCTCCATAATATTCACAATCTGCTTCTAGAATTCATGAATCATTGGGCATTCCTGCCAACCATACAAGTGAAAGCCTATTCCCCTTCCCCCACAGCTGCTCACATTTGTCTAATAGGCTGAGCTGAATAAAAGATGGGGGAAAGGGAGGAACCTGTAAGCTTAATGTAGTAACCTGACTGTGATGTAATCAATGTATTTTAATTTATCATTTGAAAAAAGCTTCCTCTCCCCCTGTATCGCTTCTCTTGTATCCTCAGACCCTTGTAGCTTCACTTATTTAAAATTTGTATTCCAGGGGTATCCGCTTTCTCCAGATCCTACGAATGCTGCATGTTGACCGTCAGGGTGGCACATGGAGACTGTTGGGATCAGTAGTTTTCATACACAGACAAGTAAGTTAGATCTGACATAGGGACAATGCTTGAACAGAATAAGAAAACAATTTTTCTTGGTTATAGCCATTTTCAGGTCTTCTGTGTCACACCGGTGTACCTGAATTCGGTCATTATACTGCTACAGCACAGACAGCTACTATTCTTTAAAATACATATTGCAGCTTTGCAAAATAGAGGTCTGTGGTTTGCCAGGAGCATTTAATATTAAGCTAAATTAACAGAGAGTTTGAGCTGCTGACCGTTATTGAGCTCAAGTTCCCTTGTGATATGGCTCTAAAGAGAGAAACTGCAGAGGTTTGATGCATCAGGAATTAGTCCTGATCCCCTTCTCTTTTGTGTGCCCAATTGCTGTGCAGGAGGAGATAGATTATAATTCACAGGTAATCACTGGGACAGTGTTGTTGCATGTTTTTAACCAACTTATTTATTTTAAATATTATCCTATCATGTAAACATGATGATATAAAAGCATGGAATGTAGGCAGATGTCTTCTTGTTGTTAAATATATGAACTTAGGAACATGTGGTGATTGTTTCAATTAATCAAATACTGTTGCTTTACTGTGTTTAAAGGACAACAGGTAAATTCCCCAAGTTTAAAATTTTCACATAAGTCCCATTTTCAAAAGTGACTTGGGCACTCAGTAGCCTAAGTTTCACTGAATTTCATTGACTTTCAGTGAGACTTAAGCTTCTCAGTGCCCAGGTCACTCGAAATTTTTACCTAACAGCTAATTTTCAATTGCAACCCCACCAGATTTTTTGCAAAAGTCATGAACAGTTATTTTGAAATCCAGTATCTGCGATTGAAGCATACATACATTTCTGTAAAACACTGGGCCAGGTCCTCAGCTGAGTTCTACTGAGCTCACAGGAGCTAGGCTGATTTGCACCAGATGAGAGTCTGATGATCTATTTGAATAAACTGCTGAAATTAACTTTTTTTTACCATTTTAATTATTTTATAGAAAAACTCCAGTGTCACATAGTTCAAAGCTCTTTAACAGTATTTTTATTTGTTTTTATTCTGCTTTCAGGAATTAATAACTACCTTGTATATTGGGTTTCTGGGCCTGATTTTTTCATCTTATTTTGTGTATTTGGCTGAAAAAGATGCTGTGAATGATTCAGGACAAACAGAGTTTGGCAGCTATGCAGATGCCCTGTGGTGGGGAGTAGTAAGTATAGTATATTTTGCAATATAAAATGACAGCTAACATCCTACATTGTTTACTAATATAAAAAAGTTCCAGTATGTGTGGGAGAACAGAAGTCAGATTAAAATTGCCTCATTGCTACAGTATCTTCTGTCACTCTTTTTTGATATCATGTGAGGCCATCAGATAATGGTGCAGAAATAGTAAATTGTGGATATTTTATTTATTTTTATTAGTAAAGGGGGGTGAACCCTTTAAAATGATTTGGAACAATCAGGCCATGCAAATAACTAACCTATATATGTGTTCTCATGACTTTTACCCCTGTCCTCCCTTCTGGTACCTCCTATTGTTTGTTACATTAATTTGTTGTAACTTCTCTTAACATAGGGTTAGTTCCTTTTAGGTGTTGAGCATTTTAGCCCTGGTTCAGTATAACACGCAAGCCCTAGCTTAGCTTTGAGCACATTGGGTAATCCTTTTGAAGCCAGTAAGGCAATTCACGTGCTAAAAATTAAGCATGTGTATTGGGGACAGAGTGCTCAGCACCTCTTAGGATCAAGCCCAGGCATTGTAAGCACTTTGGAGCAGGGAACATCTCTCTTCCTTTGTGTTTATACAGTGTCTAGCACAATGATACCCCAATCTTGACCACATAGTGTCCCCTTGCATGTCTAATGTATGGTATTTATAAGGTGCTTCTTGTGATAATATCTAGGCACCCTTACATAACAGTACTATCTAGGTGCTGCATAATTGGTATGAACATTTTAGAACACCCCTAAATACATGTTCTGCTGCTCTTGTGGTCTAAACATCATTCATTAGGCTGTGAATGATGGTAAACGTTATTCTTTTCAACTACCTTAATGGTACGATTGATGGAATGATTCCATGGCACCTCTCAGCTAAGGCAAGAGTCAGAACTTAGGCGTACTGACTCCAGAGTTGTCCATTTGCTTGATCCAATAAATGAACTAATTTTGTTGCCTCTACTAATGATGATCTCTCTTTCTCTCTTTTATTGTCCTTTCATATGCACATATTAAATTATCAGCCATGTTCTGAGAGTTTTATTTTGTACTTACCTTTCCTTTCTTTTCCCTCTCTGAATTATAAGAGTGTAGACTGAATTAGTAGACTGTCACTGCGGTTGCACTGTATGTCAAAAAGTACCTTTTTTACCTGGGTGGTACTTATCATAAGGCAATAAAAGTGAGAGCTGGAAATAACCTTTTAGATCATCCATGCCCTCCCTCATTATTTCCTGGTTGTGTCCTTGCTATTGCTGCATGACTGTTCTTAGTAAATGGAACCATCTTCATTAAGCATTCCACATCCTTAAAAGGAATACATTGCATGGACATCACCAGCGATTCAGCATATGCATTTCCATAATGCACTTTATTTTTGGAGTCTTATCTTTTGAGGCTTTAAATCACATGACAGACTTTGATTGTTAACACTAGTGAGACTAAGAACAATAGATCACAGGAAGAAAAAGTGTAGCACTATATTTGTCTGACCTGCAATCTTGACCAGGAGGACGTGTTCTTTCTGGAGATTTTTATTTATTTATTTATTTTATTTTATTTATTTATTTTGCTCGCGTTTTGTCTCCTAAATTTCTACACGTGGTACCACTTGCTTTTCCAGCACTAAAACATGTATTGATGAGCATGTTAACTGCAGGTCTCCTGCTGCTGAAGTGTATAAGTATACCTCTCATGAGTCCACCAATTTATTATGCTACTTAGGCTATTATTGTGAACTTTATAGCTTTTTCTCTTCCTGTCCACCAAGACTAATACAGACTAATACTAGGATGAGAAAACTTGCCGTTCAGCACAAGGAAGTGGCAATTTGGCAAGCAATTTTTTCAGGGCTTTCCTGATAATAAAGCATGTTTTTCTCCTCCTTCAGTGCCAGGTTCACATGACACTTAAATTAACAGTGTCAGATGCAGCCACATCTCAATATTTTCACCTTAATTTTAGCAATGAAAGTTGTACCTCTGCCAGGCATGACTGGTTCACTAAAATTAGAGTAAAGCTTTTCTTAGCTGGAGTGAGACCAATAAGCTTCTACAAACGTAGGCAGGCCTTGCTTTAGGGAATAAGATTATCAGTTGTGGGAGTAATACATATTACTTCTCCCCATAACCCTGATTATGACAAAGTTATGTATTTGGTACATTTAATAATGGGGAGATTCTTCTGCTGAAGCCTCCATCATAGTGCAGGACATTGCTGGAGATATGGTTCTAGATTAAATGAATTCCCCAGTCCAAGTATTTTAATTTAAAATATACATTTTAATACCCTAATTAATCTCTAGGTGGAGAATGCTATGATAATCTAGACTAGCTATGGTAGAAATAAGGATAACAGTCAAGAGGTCTTAATCAAAGAGGAACAGTTGCAATTGCCTGGCCAGCCATATATGAATAATACATCACAGACCACTGCTGCTACCTTGGATTGAGCCATGAGGATCCCCAGGCTGCTGACCAGTATGGTAAAGCAAAGCACAGGCCTAGTCCTTGCATAATTGGTCAGGACACTTCCCTTTTTTCCACTTCTCTGGATGCTTCCACCTACTAGTATGATGCATACATCTGCTTCCATATAATCAACGTTGAATCGCAGTCTTTCATCCCAGGCCTTGTCCCATCGAGGCAAGGGACTGGAAAAAGAATAAAATTATAAAAGCTGGGTTTGATGGGGAGGACATGCAAAGGAGATGAGTCACATCACCATACTGATGGCTACAACCCAGCGGAGGGATGATCAAACAGAGAGGAAGGATTGTCCAGTGGAAAAGTGGTCCCAGGCACTATCCTAGGACTTGGGAGACCTGGACTCAAGTCCTGCTCTGCCACAGACTTCCTGTGTGATCTTGGGCAAGTCACTTAGCCTCTCTGTGCCTCAGTTACCCATCTGTGAAATGGGGATGATAATTCCCTACCTCACAGAGCTGTTGTGAGGATAAATACATTAAAGATTGGGAGGCACTCAGATGCTAGCATAATGGGAGCCACAGAAGTATATGAGAGAGAATTTCTCACAATAGCTCCTAGTGGCATTGGACCTTTTGGGATCCGACATGAGGACTATTAGGAAGACAGAGCAAGTGCCCAGCATGGCTATCTGGATCCCTCTTTGAAGAAGGGCTTCTTCAACCCTTGCAAGATCCTGCAAGTGATTCAATAGACTCAAGCTCAGTGTTGTCAATGGCTGCTGATAGATTTAATACAGAACACTCCAAGTTTTTAGTTTATTTAAAGTATTTCTTTCCATAGTTTTATGTGATCTCAGTAGCTATGCAACCTTGTTTTAAAACCAATAAAGGCAATGAAAGAAAAATGTATGTTAAATACATTATATGGACACCTGGTTCAGGTTAATTGTTAGGAGATAATTGCTGGCCACAGTATTGGTACAGCTTTAGGGCTTATCTACTTAAACACTTAGCTCACAGCAAGCTGATATGTAAACCTGCCCCATACTAATCTGTTGCGCATTGTGTCCATGTGAAGCTCCCTAGTGTGCTTTAATCTACTCCCATTTCAAGGATCCCAGAAGGATCCCAGATGGCAATGCTTGCTGTGAACTAAGTGTTCACCTAGGCAAGCCCATAGTTCCATGGCGTGGTTGGGGAAAAAACAATACTGAGAGGGATCGGGGAAATCTGGTTTCCATCACCACGTTCTTGATGCCTTCAATAAAAAAGAGACCTATGGAGTCAGGATGATGATCAGGGAGGCTGATGAAGAGTGACGATAGTTTGAGCAAATGAGGCCAGATTTCCAAGAGCTCAGCACCCAGCTGCTCCAGCTGTGACACTCTCAGCCAGTTTTTCAAAGCAGTTCAGTACCGAACTTTGAGCTCCTTTGAAAATCTGACCCCATCTATTTAAAACAGGGCAGAACTTCCCCTGCACGAGAGAAGCATTCACAATCGGTGTTTCTAATGGGCCAATAGTCCTTGCCTTGGCTAGTCATCAAGGATCTGGGTCATCTCACACGTAGTTGTCACCACTCTGAACACACGCAAACGCAACCCTGGTGCAGTTGAGAAGACTCTTCATGGCGAGTGCTAGGTAAGAGGTGCTCTGGTTTTATCACAGCTGGGATTTTTTTTCTTTTGACAAAAATAAGGAAAGAATGCACAATATTGCTATCTTAGGGTTGTGACAGTGCTGCCCGTGGGAGCCAGCTGAGGTCACTCAATCAGGGTGAACTGCAAACAAAACGGGGCAGACAAACCCCAAACACTGGTGGCTATTCCAATACTTAGATTTACCAAGCCAGCACAAAACAGCTTCTATAGTACCTCACTGGTTACTCAGAAGTCCAAACAACGCAGTTCCCTTAAAGTATCCAGCCTCAGGCCTCCGTCCAGACACACCTGTCAGATAAGATGATGATTACTGAAAATCTTACTTCATCATATAAAAGAAAAGGTTCTTCCAATCCCAAAGGATCAGCCACATACCCAGGTCTAATTATAACTTAGATCTTACCCAAAATACACGCTATAGTCAATTCTTATTAACTAAGCTAAAATTTATTAAAAAAGAAAAGAGAGAGAGTGTTGGTTAAAAGATCAATATACATACAGACTTGAATTCAATTCTTGAGGTTCAGATACATAGCAGAGGTGAGCTTGTAGTTGACAAAAGTCCTTTTAGAAATAGTCCATAGGTTATAGTTCAATGTCCATATTCAGGGTGGCTCCAGTCAGTGACTGGGGGTCTCAATCCTTATGGTTTAAGGTTTCCCCCTCTTGAAACCCAAAGCAGATCTGAGATGAAGTAGGATCATGTCCCAGGGTTCTTATACATTTCCAGCAGCCTTTCGGCCTGAGAAAACAATAGGCTTAATTCTCCTTCTCTCAAACATCCTGGCAATTAACACAGGGTAATCTATCCATTAAGCAGTTCAGATACAGGTTACCACAACCTTCAAAGAGACACAGACAATAATACTATTTCACTCAAGTAGCATCATAAATGTTAAT